GTGTCTTCCCTGCTGTGGGTACTTCTTTACCTTCAAATGTGCTGTTTATTAAAATCAATTATTTGATTACTTACGAAAGTGTTTGCAGAAACGATACTATTTACTTGCTTTTAAGAGTTATTATTAACGCTGTATCAAATAACTTTTGAATGAGGTGGAATAATAGTTAATATCTCATTTTACTCACAGTCTTAATCTCTTCATACGATATAGTATATTTAAATTTATAGCGAGTTTTGCATCTTTTACTAATTTTTGAGGATCAGCCAATCTGTGCACAATCTGTAAAATCCAATTTAGAATAAAATAAGGCGGCGATGTAAGATTGAGTCGAATATTATTACATGAGAGTTTAAAAATTTAGGTTATACAGGATATATACCCGTATGTACAGAATTATAATGTTTTGTGCGCGAAATGGTTATGAGTGTGTTTAAATGACATTAAAGTTGATAATTCTTAAGCATGTGCTGTATATGCAAAAATAACCTGTAACTCGAAAATATCCTTAAATGTATCCGGAATATGCGATTTCGTGAAACTAGCAGCAACTTGAGCAACATTGATCGCATCTTCTCTTCTTCCAGCATCAATGTGGCATTCAATTAAAGCACTGTTTTATAAGAAAGACGTAGAGTTTTTAATTTCTTTTTCTGGATATAGATATTTTGTACTATTAGCTGTTGATGACTTTATGGTGTTGTAGATCTTACATCAGAAGTTTAGTTCTCCATTCGTAATCTTTATCATCTATATCATCTAAAGCTTTGACTATGTTATGTAGAGATTTTGATAATGGTGTCTGTGGCCAGCTGTTAAAAATGGCCGACAAAACTTCCAATAAATAACTGAAGCGTTATAAACCAGAAAATGATACCTAAAAGAATATTTTAAAAAGCGATAAATAATAATTAGAATAAAAGGACAATATAGAAATGTTGACGCAATAGAATAATATTGACCTAGTAGTCTTTCTAGCAAAATTGATTGCCCTAGTAATATACGATACTGCAACTTCCAAATTTTCCTTTAAGAGAATAAAAATTTCGTATTATTATCTGTAGAAGATCAGCAATTTAATATATATAGCGAACGTAAATAGACAGTTGAGTTAAAATCAGAAATAAAAAGATTTACTAAATTAGTGTTTACAGTGTCTTTCTTGGATACTGGCGCATGAAGCTGAGCTTGGCATAAATATCCCCTTCCAAGAAATTGGTCTTCGGGTGGAGATTTCCTGAAGAACATTTCCAAGCAGTCCTTGGCTAACGCTCGATAGCCTCTCTAGTATAAGCAGTTGAAGAAAGCTGTTATGACTTAATGCAAAATAGAAATTATCATGCGAATTGGTCATGATGTAAATACTATAATTTTCTGTACTTCAATCCCTTATATGGCAAATTAATCGTTTATCACTTAGTGATTGAATCTTCTTTATAGCATTTACTAGACTAGTTTGCAAGCCTTGCATCCTTAGTATCCACTTAAATCGGTTATTATACAGTTTCTAATGCTAGTGTCTTGTCGATATAATGAATAACGATCGATAATAATGTATATATGTAATGTTATGTGTCACTAATTACGATATCGGTATACGCGTATATGCAAGTAGAAGTAATTAGGACATATATACAGTATCTCATATCATCCATTATGGTGTATAATACTACATTGGAATATAGTAGTTCAGTTTTATGAAGATGCAGCACTGTAGCCTAATAAGGTATTATAGAGAGTAATACCTGTTTACGTACAATGGATAGAAAACGTGTATTTATTGTATAGCTTCGTAGTTGGCTGCTACTCAGGCGTGAATTACTTACTTCATCGTCGTTAAAACTTAAGTTCATAAAATTATACATCAAGTTGCATGTAGTCACCTTTTTTTGCGTAAGTGCACAACCACTATACGAATTAATTAATCATGAGACTATATATTGATATCTCGTACTACAGCTATTTACATGACGAAATAATTGCCCTTCACGAGTGATTGAATTACTTTTTATAGTAGTCCATTATTGACATAGTTTGCAACTCTCTGATTAATAGTATCAATTCAACATGAAAATTTTACAATTTAATCTCGACAGAAATAATCATCTATATAGCTGATTATTCTATAGATAAATTACGTACTTTAATCCATCATTTTAAAAGGCTAGAGGTATTTCGTTTAAGCAAAGACGATATAATCTGTTACTGACCTCGAAAGCGACTTCCGCAGTTAAGACATACCAACTAGCTTGGATAGCGTCCACAGAGTCATCGCGCACTTCGACACCATATTTCAGCAATTGGTAGACTTCATTTAAGAGTACTTTATCATTTTCTTGATTAAGAGCGCCCAATATAACACGAATTTTATTATCCATCGCTTGGCTACTATAATAGTTTAATTTGATTGAATCCTGCTCAAGATGATCACTTTGGACTTGGATATACCCAATAATAATCACAAGGTGACCATTACAAATTGCCTTTCCCTCTAAATTGAGATGATAGATTAATACTTGATATT